CACAGGTTGAGAACCACTGCTCTATGTGAACCAGGTGTCCAGTCTGTAAATCAATTTTTCGCACAACATTCACAGTTCAGCTTTCTGAACCCCTGAATCCACCAAATGACCCTGGCCTCCCCAAGCCAACTTCCAACTTTCAGTACACATTTGCCAACACCTTACTGACACATCCATTACAATGGACATCACAATCCTTTTGAGGCACAGTGCTACTTCCGTGCAATACCTAACTAACTACTGGAACCACATTGATTTTGACTCATCATATAAAGAAGAAGTATTCCAGTGAAACACCCCATCCCCAAACCGGCTGCTCTTTCCCATTTGTTGTTGTCGCTGTGTGTCTTCAAGTCGGGAAATATATATTGGCTGGTGTAATGCATATATAGTTCTTCTATAAGCCATGAATGGGATGCCATAGGGTTTAAAGAAAATATTCCAAGATGTGTAGAATGTGTAGTAAGTCTTCTAATGATTTTTGGACTGCAACCCCTGCCTTCACAGGATTCCCATATGATACAGCTCATGGGAAATCAAATTCAACAAAATTAGAATGGCCAGACAGCAGATAACTCTCAGGAGATCCTCCTGATCCATTAGCTATTCATTCTGTTTTGTTATTTCAGATAGAACTACATACTTTACATCTACCTGTATGCTCTAACACCTGTATGCTAAACAGTCTATGTGACACATGAAACACAACTTAGAAAAAGTGGCCTAAATCTAAAAATATGCTAGAAAAAGAAGAAATTAGGGATGCATTGGTTTTTTTGGAAATGTTGAAGTCATGGGCAAAAAAAAAAATCCTTCTTGCCTTTTTGCTTGAAGAAAATCCTTTTTTTAAAAAAATATGAATCAGCCCTCTTGACAGTTTCAAAGTCAAATTTTCATTTTAAGAATTTAAAATACATTATATGTCACTTGACTTATCACAAAATGACATGTTTGATATATTAAAATACTATTTTTCAGGAAAGAATTACAAATGGTCTTTACACTTTTGTTTTTGTGTGTGTTACAAATATTGCTAAAAGATCCAAAATAGGAAGGAACTCGTGAATTATAAGCAATTTCTCTGCTTCTGCTTGTTCATGAAATAACAATAATAACAGTATTACGCAGGCAAGACCATCAACAATAACAAAGCAATTTTTTACCAATCTAGTCATCCATAGTGCCAGACATAAAGGACCCATTCCCAGAAAAAGAGAACTGATGAAAGAAAACCAAACCCAGGAGCAATGATGCACATAATCTGAGATAAATATTTGCCAGCTGCATAGTTTTTAGAAACAGTATGGAAGGATTGGGCTGGTCCATGAGGTCACGAAGAGTCGGAAACGACTGAACGAATGAACAACATGGAAGGAGTAAACATATGAATACATCACCTTGAAAATTTTATTCTTCAGTCTAAGCGAGAATATGTGATTACTTATTTCTCAATTTGTCTAGAAAAAGAAAAAATGGGAATGAATTTGGGGGGTTGAGGGAGTATCCGAATTTTTCCTATTTTTTACTGGACCTCCACATTATAAAATGATATATAGCCAACAATGTAAATAAGAGGTACTGAAAACTGTATCTTTATATCTCTGTATGTGCATATACAAGAAGTGGCTAAATTTAAGTTCAATTAAAATTATACCTCTCTGAGAAAGACCAGAGCACATGGTTTGTATACAGAAGGCAATATGTTCAATCTGCACTATCTCTTAATGTAAGGCTGGGAAAGAAGCAAATCTATAAAACCTGAAGAGCTAATCTGAAGAGCCAGCGGTATCCTTCAGTCAAATATTCTCATCTGGGAAAACATTGGAAAGTATAGCTATATTCAAAATCCAATTTAGTCCTGTCTTAAGTAGACTTGTCGAATCAATAGAAACTTGGTTTCATTGACTGAGTGCATCTGCTCTAATTTGAACTTCTAGATTTAGACTGGAGACTATAAATTCCAACCTCGTTTCAAATCTTGTTTTGCTCAACCTAACTGCTCAACCTAAATGGATGTTTAGAAGTAATGATTCTCTCAGTATCCTACCTGCAATATGGGAATAACAATACTGGCTTTTCTTAAAGATTGTTAAGAAGCACTGAAGTATTGTGAAACACTGCAAATGAATATAACAAGGCTATATAAATGTTTAGTAAAATTCCAAATAAAGTGATTGATTATTGCTGTTGATCTAAATAATATAAAACTAGATAAAAACAAACAAAAAATAAGAGAAAACTCAAGTGAGAGGGATGCTATTGAGCCAATGGGTATTGAGCCAATTGACAGCTACTAAAATATCAAATACAATCTGTCTTGCAACCCATAAGTAATAGATGTAATTATTTCATCAAATTTCTGCCTTGTTTTAGAACTTCAGTAACATATGATTACATCTAGTGCATTAAAAATGATGGCATAGTCTAGGAATTCAACTGAAATTGAACAGACCTGCATACATTTCCCATCAAACCTGTAAAGTAAACCTTTGGTCATGTTAATGGTTACTCTTGGACTCCTGACAATAACTTTAGGCAGATATGGATACGAGCCACATGCAATCTATCAAAATTTAGCAACTCAAAGAGAAAACACACACCAATTCTTGTTATCATGGTTAAATAAGATGACAGAGTCATAAGAACATAAGAAAGTCAATGGATGAGGAAAAGTTACTGTCATGTAATGCTGGCGTCAATACCAAGCATTTGATCACTATGTTTTACCACTGGAGTCCCAGGTGGCGCAATGGGTTAAACCCTTGTGCCAGCAAGACTGACGACCAACAGGTCAGAGGTCTGAATCCAGGGAGAGTGCGGATGAGCTCCCTCTGTCAGCTCCAGCTCCCCATGCAGGGACATGAGAGAAGCCTCCCACAAGGATGGTAAAACATCAAAACATCCGGGTGTCCCTTGGGCAATGTCCTTACAGATGGCCAATTCTCTCACACCAGAAGCAACTTGCAGTTTCTCAAGTCACTCCTGACACGAAAACAAAATCCGTTGGACTGCAACAAAGAAAAATGAAATTAAAAAGGCAAGAGGTGTCATGAGTACAACTGTTTGTATCTGCCTCCTCAAATCACAGGATGTTTACGAAATGGAAACAATGGTATTTAAATACCACTTTGTATTTCTAGGCGCAAAGATTACTGCAGATACAGACTGTGGCCAGGAAATCAGAAGGCGCTTACTTCTTGGGAGGAGAGCAATGTCCAGTCTTGATAAAATAGTAAAGAGTAGAGACATCACACTGGCAACAAAGATCCGCCTAGTCAAAGCCATGGTATTCCCTGTAGTAACCTACGGATGTGAGAGCTGGACCATAGGGAAGGCTGAGTGAAGGAAGATAGATGCTTTTGAACTGTGGTGCTGGAGGAAAGTTCTGAGAGTGCCTTGGACAGCGAGAAGATCCAACCAGTCCATACTTCAAGAAATAAAGCCTGACTGCTCACTGGAGGGAAGGATACTAGAGAAAGTTGAAGTACTTTGGCCACATCATGAGGAGACAGGAAAGCCTAGAGAAGACAATTATGCTGGGGAAAGTGGAAGGCAAAAGGAAGAGGGGCCGACCAAGGGCAAGATGGATGGATGGCATCCTTGAAGTGACTGGACTGACCTTGAAGGAGCTGGGGGTGGTGACGGCCGACAGGGAGCTCTGGCGTGGGCTGGTCCATGAGGTCACGAAGAGTCGGAGACGACTGAATGAATGAACAACAACAACATGCATATGACTTTAATCGATGGCTGTTTGTCAAGCGACAAAGAGTACAGACCAGACTTCTCTGGATCTTGTGCCCTCCAGACTTTGTACTATCACTCCCACAAGCTGCATCAGTCTAAAAGTCTAAAGTCACTATATTTGAATATTGGTTTGAGAAAGAGAAATACATGCTACACAATACTACAGATTACAGGCAAAATGCTTAGAACAGAGTTGATGATATGATAGCATTAGTTGCATTCCAGACTGCATTTTTTAGCAAGCTCCACTTGCTTTAAGTTGCACAGATGTTGCAGTTGGTTTAGCAAACTATTTGTAACCATATGATATCTGTTGTTGAATCATCTGTTGACTTGTGATGGTGCCATGAATTTCATAAAGTTTTTTTAGGCAAGGAATACTCATAACCAACATGGTAATAAAAATGTTGAAGATGTTCTACATCCTGAAGTATTTAGCCAAGATTTAATTCTTTTTGTAAAAATAGACAAGAACATCTCATTCGTTTGCAAATTTGCTTTACTTTTCTTTTCTTTTTTATTTATGTATTTGTTAAAATAGGCATACAATATATATGTCTGTTGTGGACAATGTTATATTTTCATCGTGTTGCTAATTCACAAACATTTCTCATACAGTATCTTTATTTAAGGAGTCTCTGACTTCTATCTGGGTAGGGCAGATAAGAGGATCATAAATTCAAAGTTGGTAATGAATTCCTCTTTGTCTACAGCAATGGTTCTCAACCTGTGTCCCCAGGCTTTTTGGCTTAACAACTCCCAGAAATCCCAGCCAGTTTACTAGATGTTAGGATTTCTGGGAGTTGAAGACCAAAACATCTGGGGACCCACAGGTTGAGAACTACTGGTCTACAGCCTTATAGGAACCCTATAAGGATTTTTGCATCTAATTGAACTTTACTTTTATATTGAGGTGTGAGATTGCTGGCTGCCATTCTTTAACAAAATCCCCTCCTCTTAATAGCACAGTTATTTTATCAATTGTCAGCAATTCAGTGATGTATTTTTCCAATTCTTCTATATCAGGTACCTTTGTGGTTTTCCAGTGTCTGGCATATGCTATTTGTGCTGCTACTGTCATGTAGAATAAACATTTTCAAAATTTCCTTTCTAATTCTTTGTCTGGCATGTTCAAAAGAGACATTTGTGGCATCATTGAAAAGTTTGTATTTAGCATCTTTTCAAGATTTAAGTTGCTTGCTTTATTGCATGTCCACCACATGTGGCAAAATGTGCCTTTTTTGTTTATGCATTTCAAAAATATGAAACGCTTCAGGAATTTGCATGTCATCCTTGCACAGGGGCCATAATAATCTTTTCTGTATCATTCCATTTTTAGTATATGTGCTGCCATTTTAATAAATGGAAGAATTATTTGTATACCAAATAATTGTTTTTAAATACATTTATTTATTATAAGTAAATGTTTAATTTGTATATCTATTTTTATATCTATATACTCAGGGTCACATAAAAACTTATTGGGTGAAAAGAGGTCACGAGTGCAAAACGTTTAAGAAGCTGTGGGCTAGAGTACCTGATATTCATTGGTGGTCTACCAATACAAGTAGTAACCAGAACTGACTCTGCTGAGCTTCCAGCATCAGAAGGGATCTGGCACCATTAAGATATTTAGGAAATGCTTATAGAGAGCTCCTGCTGTGAAAAGTACAAGGAGAAGCATGACTGTAGCTGTAGCTTTTTTTTTTGTGCAGAATCACAGAAATCACTATCAAGAGATTTTGAAAGCATGATGCTGTGCCTAGGGTAGCTGGTGATTATTTGTTTTGGCATGACAAGTCAAATGTAAATATTAGCAATTCAATTTTTCTGCTATGGTGCTTTTCTCTTATATCTTCACTTTCATAATATTTTACAATGTTTTTTGAGTGATTTTCTTACAAATTCCTTTTTTGGCTTTTTATTTTATGTATAAATTGAGATCCCAAATATCCTAAAAACCACAGATTTTGTCTAAAATTGTAAACAAATGTAGGGTCAGCTCTGATTACTACTTAAAGAGGAGACCACCATGGAATACTTGGTACTAGAGGTTATATTTCTGAGGAGGGTGCTGGAAAAGTATTCTTTGCTTAAGAAAACGCTCTGAAATTTATGGGGCTGCCATAGGATGATGGCTGACTTGAAGGCACATATACGCATGCACACACTGAAGTCCTATTTAGATGCTACTTGTTTTTTAACTATGGGATAGCTCTTAGTGTCCAGACTCATTGTTATTTTAATCCATTTTAAGGCTCTCAATCATTATCATTATAACATATATCTTTAACTTTTACACCCACGGGAATTCATGTGGATTACAGAGGATAAAACCCAATGCATATTCACATTTGTTTTGACTAGCAGACTCTTTTTCTGCAAAGTAACCAATACAATTTCTGCCTCCTAAAAATAGTTAGATGATGATTATAGTTGTTTGCCATATAGTCAACTTCAATTTATGGTAATTTTATGAATGAGAGACTCTAAGTCATCAACAGGTCTTACAAACTCATGTCTGTGGCTTCCTTGATTCAATTAATCCATCTGTAATATGGTCTTCTTATTTGCACTTTATAATTACACTTTACCTCTCTGGGTATTTTAGACTGTTTAATTAACTGCCTTTCATTTTATCAATCATTATATTACCACTTTTTTCAAAAATTGCTGTTTTTAAATTGTTTTAAATTGTTTTTAAATTGTGTTCGATTTTAGCCTGTTCTTGTAAGCCGCTCCGAGCCCCAGGGGAGTGGCGGCATATAAGTTTGAATAACAAATAAATAAATAAATAAATAAATGATTCATGCCATCAAATAATATGTCCAAAGTATGACAGCCTCAGTTTAATCATTTAGAACACACTACCACTAATATTTCTGCCTGAATAAAATGAATATCCCAAGGTAAGAAAACTGGTATAAATGCAGTTGTATCTTGTCAAAAGTTAATGTTACACTAATAAAAATATAGTCTTTTACGAAGGAAATATTTCCCAGTGAAGGGCCATCAAGAAGAAAATGTATAATGTTTATTTTAGACCAATATACACACTTCATTACGGACTGTCCTTAAACCAAAATGCATAAAAAGTGAGGTTGAAAACATTTCATTTTTAGCCAATGATAAGTATGATAGTGCCAGTAGTGTAGTGGACAAAACAAGGCAGAAACCTACTAATTATTCTCATGTGTAACCACAATGACATTACATGAAGGTTATTTAAAGTCTTGCGGGATTTGCGCTTGACTTGATAAAGCATATTTTACGAAGTACTTCATTGACAACTGTCTGAAAAATCTGTTCCAGAAAATGAAACATGCATTTTACAATCTCTCAAATGATTTATTGTCAGGCTATCCATGTCTGGTAAAATAATCCGTTTCCTTTATCATTTAGAGAAAATTGGCACCTGTGCCCTGGTAGAAAGTTTTTGCATTTGTTTTTTAGAAGATAAAAATATCCTAAGATCTGTTATTATGCTGGAAGGAAGCTCAGCAAGAACATTTGCCATTTAGAGGATACCTCCCCCCCTCCAAAAAAAAAATTAATAATCAAAATAGAAAAATCAAATACTTTGGCAAACCTTTTCTTAAAAGTTCTAACAGTTCTTCATTTAGAAAGTCCACAAGTAAATACTGTAGGCAAATACAAACTATCCAAGCATTCTCCTATTTTCTTATTATTATGACAGAGTGTGGAAAATTTACTAATAATAAAACAACAACAACAACAACTTTATCTTTGTACCCCGTCTCCATCTCCCCAAAGGGACTCGGGGCGGCTTATATATGGCACAATGTGCCTAGAACAATACATAAAGTAAACACACAATACAATACAGGATAAAACCATTAGCATATAAAACAAAGTTTAAGCTCAAAACGGCACCCAATAATGTACAATGAGAACTATTGTAAAACATGACCAATTGTAAACAGGAACAAGTTTTAGCTAATAAACTAGGGCATGGAATGAAAGTGCAGTGCTGCAGCATTAATTGCGGACCATTGGGGCTAGACATTCTCAAATATCCAATTGCCCAAATATACAAGTCTTCAATTCCTTCTGAAAGGAGGATAGTGCGGAGGCTTGCCTAATCTCCCTAGGCAGGGTGTTCCAAAGCCGGGGGGCCACCACTAAGAAGGCTTTCTCCCTCGTCCCTGCCAACTGTGCTTGTGACGGTGGCAGGACCTCCCTGGTAGATCTTAATGCTCACACAGGAACATGGGGGGGGGGGGTGCTGTCATGAAGATAGGCAGGGCCCAAGCTGTTTAGGGCTTTGTATGTGATGACCTGCACTTTTAAATGGGACCGGAAACTTATTGGTGACCAGTGGAGCTATTTTAATAGGGACATAATCCCTATATTTAGGTCTAATTAGACTACACTTCCTCAGCCACTGACTTTAAGCCTCTTTAGAAAAATGCATAGTTGCTTGAAAGATTAAAGGAAGAAGAATTCTGGCAGTTCCTGCTACTTTCTCTCTTTGTGGGAAATGCAAAAAACCAAGAAAACCATTGTGTGTGTGTGTGTGTGTGTGTGTGTGTGTGGAACAATGTGGTTTAGGCATTATTATGCTATAGTTGTTGTGTACCTTCAAGCCGTTTCCAACTTATGACAATCCTATCATGAGGTTGTCTTGAGAAGATTTGTTCAAAGGGAGTTTGCCATTGGCCTGAGAGAGCATGACTTTCCCCAAGGTCACCGGGTTTTCATGCCCAAGCAAGTGTTTTTGATTTCTGTTCTACAGAGCTGTAGTCTGACATAGTACCTTCAGAGAAAGCATGGAAGACATCCCTTTCCTACTGGATTCATCCTTGGTTTTTCCACATTCAGGAGGAAAGTCTGAAGGAAGATTCTCTGCATGTTTGTCTTAATAGGTCTAGAAGACCCAAAGACCTTGGTCTTGAAAGTTCTCATCAATCATGGTGAAGAATTTTCCTCAGCTCTTCTAGCTCGATGCAGGTAGGGTAGAGCGAACCTAGCAGGGACAATGTACATGAAGCTGTATCCCTTCCCAGGGATCATGTTTCAGTGGAGTTTGGGGAATAAGTGAACTCATCTATCTTCAGTTTATGACACTTTCAATGCTCAATGCTATGGAATCCTGGGATTTCTAGTTTTGGGAAGCATTATTTTATACATTGAGCCATAGCATTAATTCTACAGTGTAGATGAACTCATTTTCTTCACCTATTCATTTCCACATTGTTACTTAAAAGCTTGCACAATTTCTCTCCAAACATTTCCTTAAGTACTTCCTTTCAAAATAGTGCTTCAGTGTATATTTTATGTGTTTGAACTGTTCAGAGCTGTGTCACAACTTTAGAAGAAGTGTGAAATCTGGTGGCTAGCTAAGTTCTGATCTCCACATGACGCCATAAGGTGTGAAGATCTAATCCCTCAAGCTTCTCTAAAACAGCTATCCAGCTGGCTGCAACCACATCATTCCAGATATACGCAGAGGTTAAGGGCTGCCTGGCAGCTATAGAGTGATGTTCAGGGTTTGTTTCAGCAGAGGCTGCCAAGAATTACACAAACTGGTCATGCGAGGAAAGATTGTAGTTGCCATTCTGGTTGATTGCCTGGGTGAACCTGCTACTTCCCTCAGGTGAACAGCCAGGCAGAGACTGCTATTTTAGAATTTTTTATGCTAGTCAAATGCAGAGCCAGGGAAAGTTACTCTAAGGTAAAGGTAAAGGTTTTCCCCTGACATTAAGTTAAGTTGTGTCTGACCCTGGGGTTGGTGCTAATCTCTATTTCTAAGCTGAAGAGCCGGCGTTGTCCATGGACACCTCCAAGGTCATGTGGCCAGCATGACTGCATGGAGCACAATTACCTACCCGCCGGAGCGGTACCTATTGATCTACTCACATTTGCATGTTTTCGAACTGCTAGGTTGGCAGAAGCTGGGACTGACAGTGGAAGCTCACTCTGCTCCCTGGATTCGCACCTGCAACCTTTTGGTCAACAAGTTTAGCAGCTCAGTGGTTGAACCCACTGTGCCACTGGGGTTCCCTATTGGATGTAAACCTAAATGAATCAAGTGTTGAAAACAACTTGAAGGCATACAACAGCATCAACACATATTGAATTTACTTGATATAAAGTTCACAGTCATCCTTCATATCCATGTCATATCCACGCATCTATGGATTCAACCAGCCATGGCTTGAAACCTTGATCTTGCCATGTGTTGATCACTACACTGATGTGTAGACATGCCCTGCTGCAACTTTCCACAACTTCCTAGATCCTCCGTTTATTTATTTTTATTTATTTACCTTATTTATATCCCAACTTTCTCTACTCTGAGGGGGCTTACAATCACACCTCCATGGGGCCTTAAAACATAC